AGAATTCCTTGCCGGCTGTGACCCCCCAGAACCAGACACTGGCTTCCCGAGCCCCAGGACTGCTGAGGGCGGGGGTGGCTTCCTCCCTCAGATTGGGGGTTCCCTGAAAATAGGGGCAATCGTGACTCCCCTCCCCTTCCCGCTCCCGGATGTGGCAGTGTAGACCCCGGCACTGTGGGGTTCCCAGGGGCAGACCTGGCTCCTTCCTCCCCCAGCACCGCAAGGCAGGCCTCGGAGGGCAGCTTGGAGGGTGCGTCGGCCAGACCCTCGGCCCCCAGCGCTCAGACCCGACCATCGCAGGTCCAGAGCTCCCGCCCAGTCCCAGCCCTGCCCGGACACGAGAGGAAGGGGTGGAGGCAGCGAGGCTGAGGCGTGTGTAGAATAAATATAACTTTATTCTTTATCCAGTAGATCTCAGTGGAAAGCCCAACAGTAACAGGTGCACCAGCAGGCTCCAGGGGATAGACCCCAACCCCGGGTGGAGGGGGTCAGGGCAGAGCCAGCTCCCCCAGCCGGGGGTGCAGGGGTGAGGGGAGGAGGCCCCCTGTAGGCCCGTCCTGCGGGGCAAGGAGGGGGCCCAGGTGTGGGGCAAGTGGAGGGGTGGGGGACAGGGACATGGAGGAAATCGGACCAAGTGCGTGCCGGCCCCTACTGTCCATTGTGTGTGTGTGTGTGTGTGTGTGTGTGTGTGTGTGTGTCTGGGGCCTATGGGGGTGCTGGTGGCTGAGGCTGGGGCGAAGGCGGCTGGAGCCCCTCCGCCGGCCCCTTCACAGTGGGGGCTGGAGACTTGGATGATGCCGCCTCGTGGGGCGAGGGCGGCGCTGCCAGGAGACAGCTGGAAAAGCGCTCTGTGTGCTGGGACCCAATCCGCCCTGCCCTGCTCGAGGTGGTGGGGACAGGCGCACGGGCCAGAAGCCGGGTCCTGCTGGGGCTGCCGACACCGGTCACGCCCAGTGGTTAGGCGAGGGAGGAGGGAAAGGCAGGCCTCGGAAAGTTAGTACTTCACAGTTTGAAAGAGAAAACCGAGGAAAAGGCTGAGGAGGAGACCTGGGGGGCACAGGGACACGGCGGGAAAGTGGGGTCCCTTCTGAGCCACGTCCCTCCCCAGGACCCACCCCCCCTCCAGCTCTGGATCCAGCTCCCCCCCATACACAGCACAAATTCCTTCAGTATAAATGTGCTTAAAATGAAAATTCTTATTTAAAAAAATCGAAACCAAAAAAATAAAAATAAAAATAAAAACAAAACCAGCGAGAATTAATACCTGGGGGTTGGTATGGCAGGGTATGTACAGGGGGAGCCCCCGCCCATGGCCCGTGGCCCACCCCTCCGTCACCAACCGAGGCAGGGAGGCTGAGGTTCCCCAGCTGGGGAGCAATGGCTTGTGAGTTCTGAGGACGGGAGCCAGGTCCTGGCATTTGCTGGTGATGAAGATGTGGTGAGGTGGGCAGAGGGGTGTCTTGATGGACAGGAGCACTCCAGGACCCATCCTGAGGCCAAGGACGGGGGTCCTCGCTCAGTTCCCAGTCGCGGCCCCTGACGTCGGCCCGGGCTGCAGGAGTGGGCCGTCCACCCAGGGCCCAGGTCTCTGTCCAACAGTGGGGGCGGGGCTGGCAGGGGTCGCATGGTCGGCAGAAAGGCAGAGAAAAGCCGGGGCGTGGGGCGAGGGCGGTGTCCATGTGGCCAGGGCCGTCACGGGGAGTGGGTGGCCGGGCTGCTTCTGTTGGAGCTGGGGCTGAGGCTGGGGCTGCAGCTGCCTGGCGGTGGGGCCAGGCCGCCCCCGTCGCGCCCCCCACCCCCCGGCTGTCCGCTCAGAGTATCCAGGCCCTCTGAGTTCTCCAGCATTTCCTGGATGAGAGGCGGCATGGAGCCCGGGATCTCCATCTTCAGCGTGATCACCCGCTCAGCCCCTGCAGGGAAGGGGCGAAGAGGTCAGCGCGGCCGGCTCCCCTGCTGCCCGGCCACGGCCATCCCGGAACCAGGAAGCCAGGTGGCCAGACACGGGAGGATCCACACGGCCAGGATCGGCACCCACTGGGTACGAACATGGGACTCGGCTCCTGCACATAAGCCAGGGCCTGGGGCCTCAGGGCAGCGCCATCCTGGGCCGGCCTGCCAGCTGCCTGGGTCTGGCACGGGCCCTTCCTCTGCACAGCGGGCGACTCTACTCACACCCCTGCAGGCGCTGTCACCACCGCACGTCAGGCGGGAGCCCGAGGCTCAGAGTCAGAAGCGACCTGCCAAAGGTCCGGCGCCGGAGTCGCCATCTGAACGACCACGCACAGGGGACACCGCCACCTCGCGCACACAGGCAGGCACCTGGGCAGCGCGGGGCATGTGGGAGACCACAGCCCAGACCCGGATGGGGTGAGGCGCTTCGTCCCGGCACCGGCGGCAGGCGCGGCCGGAGGGCGGGGGTCCGGGAGCCTCACCCTTGGCGCTGATGCTTCGCAGGTCCGTGATCTTCATCAGCATCTTGGGGAACATGTGGGGGCGGCTGGGCCTCCGCTTCCGCACGTAGACCTTCAGCGCCTCCAGCAGTGGCTCCTGCAGCATGTCCACCCGGTCGGGCTGCTCCAGGTCCTGCCGGTCTGAGGGCAGAGGCCCCAACGTGTGAGCGAAGGGGAGCTGGAGGCGAGGGTCGGTCGCCCAAAGCCCTCCCTGCCAGCCTGGTTCTTGGGATGGGACCCCAGACACAGGCAGGGCATTCCCCCAGGCGGCCTCCGGTTCCCACCTGGTATTATTCCGGAGGGCGGCATGACACAGCAGAAACCACAACAAACGAGTAACTGCAACGATTACTTATGGGCCGTGCCCTGGGCACCCTGCATCCTCCCCTCGGCTTTATGAGGCAGACACCACAAGCGCCCCTACTATCCAGAAACGGAGGCTGCTCAAGGTCACACAGCTGGCTAGGATGCGACCCCGGTGGTCTGACCCTCCAGCCCTCGCTCTTAACCCCCGTAGGAGGGTTGCCCTGAATAGGGAATGGGAGTCCATGTCCCCCCACCCAGCCTTGCTGTGGGCTGCAGACCAGACGCTGCCCCTCTGAGCCTCAGTTTCCCCTCTGAGAAAGGCCTGCCAGATGACACCTGGAAGAGGCTTTGGGGCGGCACCCCTACCCGAGCCTGGCCCCGGCCCCAGGCCCCCGCCCACCTCCACAGATGAGGCAGATGGCGCTGAGCAGCCCGGTCTCTGCATCGTCCATCTCCAGGGGCAGCAGCTGGTTGGCGAAGGCAAAGACCAGGTCGGTGAGGGGGCCGAAGCCAGCGTTGTGCATCTGGGTCCGGTTCAGGGTCAGCCCGTCCGAGAAGGTCATGGTGTCCTGCTCGGGCGTGTACCGCGTGCAGATCCGCAGGATCTGGGTGCAGAGGATGCACAAGTTCGGGACGGGGCCTCATCACTTCCCTCTCCAGCACCAGTACTCCAAGGGCCCCCCAACAGGCCACCAGGGCAGTACTGTCTGATGGATCTGATAGAATGTTCTACGTGGATGGAGAAGGTCCCATGCCTGCACCATCCAGCACGGCAGCCACCAGCCACATGTGGCCACCGAGTACTTGAAATGTGGCTAATGCCACTGAAGAACTGAACTGAGTTTTAACTTTAATTAACTTAAACAGTCCCACATGGTGAGCGGCTACTGTACTGGCCAGTGAAGATCTAGGTCATCTGCCTCCATGAGGAGCATTTAGAGGGGAACTCGAATGTCCAGGAAACATGGCAGATTTTCGTCTACAGCTCCCAGGGCGGGACACACAACGAGAGCTTGGTAAATGTGCATCGCTGGAACTGTGTCGAACTCTGTGCAGTGCCTCCTGCCTCTGGGGCAGGAGATGCCCTGAGGGACACATTCTGTACCCACCCCCCAACCCGTCCCAATAACCACAAGGAAATGACAGCCTTGTCAAATCCCAGGTTCCCTACGCCGGCCGGACTGAGTCCTTGTCAGGGATGACAGGGAGGAGGGTCCGCTTTCCAGCCTTGACCTTGGCAGTTCCCAATGACTTTCCCCACTCCCACCCCCTGCATCCCGCCTCCAGCTCAGTCCACCCTCAGGCCCACCAAGTGCCCTGCTGTCCTCAGAACCCAGCATGGCTCCCAGCAGCAGGTCATTCACTTCCCGCTTGTGAGATAGGGACACTCTCTCACCCACCCTTTCTACAAACCCCTAGATGCCACTTTCTCCGAGACAATTCCAGCTGGCATTTGTCACAGTTTTGCAACCTCTGTTGACTAATCTGTTGCCTCCACCCCATGGAGGGCTGTCAGGGGAGGGCATGGCGCTGTGCTTACCACTGGGTTCTGGACACCAGTGCAAGCACTGGTCAGAAGTTCCTAGGTGAATCTTTATTACAGATGAAATGGATGGATGGATGGGTGGTGAATGGAAGGATCCTTGGACGGATGGGGAAAGGGTGGATGGGTGTGTGCACGGGTCAGCGGGTGAACTTGTGCACATCTGGGTGCCGAGCGGCTGAATGGGCAGGTAGACAACTGGACGGGGGACACACAGGAAAGGAAGGGTGGATATCTGGGCAGTGGGCACTTGGACAGATCAACTCCAGGGGGACATCAGAAGAATGACCATTTAGCTGGAAGGACATCCACCAAGGACACAGGGGCAGAGATGGGGGGGGAGGCAGGGCGCAGACCCTCACCAAGATGTCCAGGCATGCAGCCTTAAGGAGGGTGATCTGGTCGGCAATGGTGAGGGTGGTGAAGCCGGGCAGCTGCTTGGCGAACTCCACAGTCTTAATGATGCACTTGGTGGAGAGTTCACTGAACTTGTCCCAGAGGTCAATGTCCAGCGAGACACGCTGTTCTGAGCTGTTGTTCTGGGGGAGGGGGGAGAGTGAGGGCCTTCTCCTCCACGGCACCCACAGGCTTGCCCTCTATCTGGCCTCCACTTCCCGGGATCTCCTTGAGGAGAGGCAGAGGGAGGAGGGAGAAGCAGGGAAGGAGAGGATGCGGAGCCCCGGGGTGAGGGGAACGCCCGGCTCAAGAGGGGGTGCCCGTGAGGGGCCCGTCCCAGCCCTGTGGCGCTGGGCCCACCACCCTGCCAGGCCGGGAGCCATACCGTAGTGTACTTGCCCAGCTGGCAGAGGGCGGGGAAGGTCTCCTGGTGCGCTTTGCGCACCTTCTCAATGAGCTCCCCGACTTCCGGTGTCAGCGTGTAGCTCTCAGAGCACTCGGGCTTGGGCACCTCCTTCTTCTTCTTGTTCCGGTCATTCCGCACAGCTGCGAACGCAGAGGGGCGGGTTGGATGTAGCTGTGGGCAGTGATCCATTCCCAGGCCCCCAGCCCAACAGAGAGGTGCCAGCTGATGAGATGGTCACCCAGCTGACACACACACACACACACACACACACACACACACACACACACACACACACACGTGTACACGAGGGCACAGGCAGGCGAGGCGAGGCCACACACTCCATCCAGCCCTCCGGGCCCACCCAGCCCACATGCCAACTTGTGCCCCAGGGGACCCATGACCACAGCGGGGGCCACACAATGGGGTGCCGAGCCCATACACCTCCAGCCCGCACTCCAGGTGCGCCTCCCTCCTCTGGGCTCTGCCGCCTCCACCCTGGGGAAGACCTGTCCCTCGCCTCCACTGCCTGGCCCTCCTCCTGGCAGCCATCTCCCTGGGGGTCCCTGGGACTGGCTCTGAGCAGTTCCTCAGGCAGGCGGGGAGTAGGGCTCCCCAGCCCGAGAGTGGGGGGCCCGGCGGGGAGAATCTCTCGGCCCATTAGCCGGGGAGCTGACAAATCACCAGGGCGCTGAGCCGCACACACCACTCGGCTTTAAAGAAGCGATGGGGTCGTTACCAGCCGATTATCCCAGACACACAATCACTCACAGGGCCAGTGGCAGCGGCTGCTGACGCGGGAGGAAGAGAGGGTGGGGGAAGGGGCCTGGGGAGGGGGTAGCAGGGAGGGGGTAGCTGGCATAATTTGGAGATCACTCATGTCGATTCTGCAAATTCAATAAAGTGCAGGGGAGAGGAGGGAGAGGGAGAGGGAGAGTGGGGGGATAATTTGGGAAGAGAAAATTGCAGCTGTGACAAGACGTTTATCATTCGGAAGCTTTAATTCTATTGAAATGGCAGCTGCTCAGCTCCGGGGCACAGAGCAGCCGGGAGAGGGGGAGTTGGTGGGAGGGAGAGGGGGTTGGTGGTGGGAGGGAGAGGGGGTCCCCACCCTGGTCCTTCTGCCATGAGAAGAAGTGGCATAGAGGGAGGAGGGGGGACGGCCCTTAAGCAAAGGGTTCCCGGCCTGCAGGTCACCCACGCTGCAGAAGGAGCCGCCACTTCCGGGGCTCAGGACAAGGCGCCCCCGCATCCCGGGATGGCAGCGGGCAGGATGCTCCAGGTCTCCCCATCCCCATCTGGGGTTCTTCGTGCACCAGGCAGAACATCCCTCCCCTACACCCGCCCCCTCCCTCTCGACCGTGCCCCCACAAAGGGCTGGGGGTCCTGCAGACCCCTCCCCCACCCCATCCCCAAGGCCCAGGCTCCATGGCAACGGCCACGCAGACAAGGAGGCGTCTGTCAGCGTCATTTATCTCTGACATCATCCATCACCGGTCACCACGGCAACACCCATGATTCAACACAAGAGGGTCTCCCTGTCCAGCCTTTCCCTCCCTCCCTTCCTCAGGCCTCAGCTGAGCCAAACTAGAAACCCCCATCCCTCTGGGATCTGAGAGTACCAGTTCTCTCCTCAAACTCCAGGTCCCAGGCTTAACCAGACAATGGCTTCCAGCTCCTTGTGCCAGCCCCTGCATACATCCAACCCAGCATCCCTCAGAGGTCCCTCCCCTAAGGGACCTGAACCATCAGAGGGAACTCAGGTGTGACGCTGAGCCCCACCAAAGCCAAGCAGGGCCCGGACGAAAGGCATCCCGGGAGCAGGTACACACATTCACGTACGAGGACACACAGCCAGGCGTGCAGAGGCAGCAGCTGGCACACGCACACTGGCCTTGAGCACAGACCCTCTTACGGACACACAGCCAGACTCGCAGACAGGTCCCGGGAGCTCTGCACAGGCCATTCTCATCCATAAGCCCTCACACTGCGGCATGCGTGTTCTCGCATGTGCACACACATCCACAGAACCCCACTGCCCTGGCCTTCAGGGGAGCCTCAGAGCCCACCTGGGCGGGGCTAGGCCCTGACCGTGGCACTCACACTCCTTGGACATGCCCACTTCGAAGCACTTCTGCAGCCGGCAGTACTGGCAGCGGTTCCGGGTCACCTTGTTGATGATGCAGTTCTTGTCCCGGTGACATGTGTACACCATGTTCTTCTGGATGCTGCGCCGGAAGAAGCCCTGGGTGCAGAGGGGAGGGAGTCAGGTCACCCATGCCCACAGCCGGAGCAGTGCCCGGCCCGCAGTCTCAGTGTGGGGGAGCAGGGCCAGGCCGGCTGCTGCCCCCAGGCCTTTGCCCATCACCTATCTGAGCGGGCCAGAAAAAGTGCGGAGAATGAGTCACTGACGGGGAGCCTCCTCAGGAAAATTCTGCACCTGCCTCCATGCTGCAAGTGGGCAGCAGCCTTCCCCCAACCCACACCCACATCTCCAACTCCTCCCGTCTAGGAAAAGGACCTCAGGGCTGCTGGTGAGTCAGCAATGGGAGGACACGGGGCTGAGGGGGGAAGGAGACAGAGACCTGGAACCCACAGCCCTGAGCACAGAATACAGGAAGAGAAGAGGCCAATAAGGCAGACACACAGGCTGGCCAGAGAAATGGAGAAACACACACACACACACACACACACACACACACACACACCGGCAGCAAGGCAGAAAGACAGATTCACCAGCCGGACAGATGTGCATCGCCCAACCACAGAGACAGATCCAGACTGGTGGGCATTCCATGTACAAGCCGACCAAGATAGATGGACAAACCAGGGATAAGCCAAGAACAACCAGCCAGGACAAGCACAGACTGAGGCCTCATGCTCTGCCCTTGACCTGGGAATAGCTACTCCAGGCTGACGGGCAGGCCCAGAGCCCGGAGCCCCAAAGCTGCACAGCTTCTAAGCCCCAATCTCTGGAGGAAGAAGCCGGTAGAGAGGCTGAGGCCCTGGGGAGCGGAGTAGGAGATGCCAGGCCCAGAGCTGCTGAGAATCAACACCACATACGTGCCCAGAGCCTGATGCGAGGGTGGGGAAGTTCAGCCAGACTCTGGGGAGCCCTCAGCCTGGGCACCTGAAGGGGAGGGCACGGCAGGGTGCCCGCTGCTGGCTGCCTCCCACCAGGTTGCCGTGGCGAGGTTCAGACAGGGCTGCCGGGGGCAGGCATCCTGGGTCCCCAGCCAAGAACCAGGTGGCAGCCAGCTCACCATGGCAACCCGGGCAGCGGTGGCAGAGCGGGCGTGCGCCCCGCCAGCTGGAGGATGGAGATGGGGAAAGGAGCAGAGGCAGGAGGGGGCCTCTGGTTTGGGGGAACCCTGCTCACATGTGGGGGAGTTTCTACGGCAAGCGTCCCTTCCTTCCCCGAGGCTGCTGCCAACTTCCACATAGAAACAAGAGCAGTGGCTCTTGTCCCCACCCCCGACAGGACACGGAAGTGGGGACATCCCATTTCCCTCATCAAGACTGTCCTTCCCAGTGACCCCCTCGACTCACCTTGCAGCCCTCACAGGCGCTGACCCCATAGTGGTAGCCTGAGGATTTGTCTTGGCAGACAAAGCAAGGCTTATAGATGCGGGGGAGAGGGGGCGGTGAGGGAGGGCTGGGCACTATCTCTTCGGAACTGCTGCTCTGGGTCTCAATGGCTGGAGAGAGAAGAGGGGAGCAGTGGTTAGAGACCCAGGTCACCAACCTCAAAGCCATGCCCCGCCCTGCCTCACGGGTTTTCCTGGGAGCCTCTCCCAGCTTCACCACTGCCAGCGGCATTCAAACTCTGGGGCAGAGACAGTCTCAGGAAGGCTGGGCCTTCACGGCCTGAAGCCTCCAGCACCCCATCACTCCTATTTCCCCAGGACTCTCACCTTCAAAACCACAAAGATCGGACGGTCACCCATCAGATGTGTATGTGTGTGGTGACTATACTTGGGGAGTGGGGTCTGGGAATCAGAACGATTCTAAAGCCCTGGCCCCCCCGCCCAGGGCAGCCTGGCTGCCAGCCTTCCCCAAGTTAGGAAGGAGTTAAGGCTTGAAGAAGAGGGAGGGAAGAGGACACAAGCTGGGGGCAGAGGAAACTGGGGTCAACAGGATATTCAAAGCCGGCCACTCCCCTACACCCCCACTTCCGCTCCCCCCTCCACCCTAACGTGCCAGCAGTCACAGCCCCTCCTCCACTCAAACGATCCCCAGGCCGAGGACCCAAGGCAGGGTGTACACAGAAGAGTCACAATATTGGGGCAGAGAGGTGGGGCTCCCTGAGAGACAAAGGGGGACCCCCCTGGACATGGGGAAGAAGAGTCCCCCTCTGCCCCACAAGCTCATCATTCTAGGTGCCCCTGTCTAGGGGGAGGCGGCATGACAAAAGGGGTCTGTTCCCATCAATGCTCTGTCTGTCTGGCCTCAATACTATGTCCGGGTTACCACCCCCTCCCTCCTGCTATTCAACTCCGAGAGGGCAGCCAGGAGGAGTGACCCAGTCAGCAGGGGCAGCCGCCACTACTCAAAACCTCCCCAGGGCCCAGCTCCGTGCTCACCACTCCAGGCAGAACAGGGCTGGGCTGAGTGGGAGCCGTCTGTGCCCAAAGCCTGGGCAGCTGGAATGTTGGGTGCTGTGGTGGAGGCCACCCAGATTCCAAGGGGCCACCCAGATTCCAAGGGGCCACCCAGCATGGTCCTGAGGCTCTTGCCATGTTCACTTGTCCAGGGCCAAGCACGGGCAGAGATGCCTCCCCGAGTAGATAGATCCCTGCTTCCTCCCACACCCCTAGGATCCCACCTAGCCCCACCCCAAACTGCAGCACATGAAGTTCTGGCATTTAAGGGTACCCACAGCTCCTGGCCCAAGTACCTTACAGACATGAGTTCCAACCCGGGCCTGACCCCAAAATCCTGGGCACAGAGGAAGGAAGCATGGGAACACCAGGGGCTGGCTGTGGGCATCCACCCCCGCTCCTTACCTGCAAATACATCAGGGCCAACAATCTTGGCAGGGCTCTCCTGGCTCTTTGTGGGGCCTGGGCACCACTGCCCTGGCCAATCTGGCTGGCCAGCACTGCGGTGGCCCCATGTCCCCTTCCCTGCCAAGAGACCAGCCTGCAGCAAAGGGACAGCTGAGGCCACACCCCCACCAGGCCAGCAGACTCGTCACTGACCTCCCCAGTCCTCTGCCCCTCAATCCAACACAAACTGCCCTGCCCTGGTTTTCTCCCACCTCATTCTCTCCAAGCCAGACAAGCCGAGAGGCCTGAGAACAGCTGCTGGGAGGGCGGGGGCTGGGGGGCTTGGGTGAGGCCAGGAGGCAGAGGGGGTGAGCCACAAAGGAGCCCTTTGTTGTGCTAACTTTTTCCAAGACGTAAAAGCAGTAACAATAGACAATCCAGACTGGTGGGGGGGGGTGTTCAAGGGCAAGGGGGCTGGGGGACCCAGGGGGGAACCATGGCCTAGAATCTTGGCCAGCATTCCAACAAGCAGAGGAAGGAGGCATTGACCTCCACTCCTCTCCTAATCCACACTTTGCCCTGGGCCCCGCCTCTCCCAAAGCTCCACCTCTCAAATGAGCCTGACTGGAGAGGGAGAAAGGACTGAGGGAGCTTTGGGGTACAGTGGAGTGGGGGCAGGGCAGATGAGGGGACACCAGGATAAGGGGTAAATAGCTCTAAGGCCAGGGACAAGACCCGAGGGCAAAGACTCACAGAAATGTGGAGCTAAAGCAAAGTCCGCGGGGTGTTTGTGGAACTGGAAGAATGTGCTTTTGACAATTATATTTTGGCAGGACGGGAGCAACGACCCGAGAGGGGTGGGTGCAGTTTGGGCTGGGTGGGGCCTCCTTCCAGCCCAGCCCACCCCACAGCAGCTGGCCTCAGAGGCTGCACCGCCTCCACCCCCAGCACAGCCCCACCTGTCACCCAGGTAACCCAGCTCTGAGGTTTCCTGCTCTGCCCTTTGAACCCAGAGCAGGAGGCCCAGTCCCCACCTCCCCCGGCCTCCAGCCAGCAGCACAGGGAGGGGAGGTAGCAGGACCAAGGCGGAGGGGGTGGGACTCAGGGACCCTCACTGCCTCGGCAAGAGTTCCAACTCGGGCACTCACAGGTAGAAGGGGGAGGGACACCAGCGGGGGAAGGGCTGCCCTGGCCCCTCCCTGCTCACCTCCCTCCCCAGAGGCCCCAGCCCACAAATCTCGCCTCTTCCTGCAGAAGGACGCAGGCTGGAGGAGGACCACACCTTCTCGGCTCAAAGTTCCAGCGCTCGGCGGAGGGCTGGAGCCGGCGCGGAGAGCCAGGCGTCCCTTCCCCCCAGCGCTGCCAGGGTGCCCCTCCCTCGCTCCCCCATCCCGGTCTGGCGGGCGGCACCGAGCGCTCCGGATTCCCCACGCCCCTGAGCCGTTCGCAGGCTCGCACAAGGGGCCGGTTTCCTGGAGGAGATCAGCAGGAAATCAGCCGGGCCCCCGGCCAGCGGCTCCCCTCCCGATCCAGCTGGCGCCCGCTCCTCCGCAACTCCCCTCGCGGGACGGTTGGGGAGGGGGCGCAGGGCCTCCGGGCCGCCCTTCCTCCTCCCGGGGAGAGGGTGGGGGCGGCTCTGGGTGTAGCGCGGCGGAAGAAGGCCCCTCGCCCGGCGGCCTGATAAGCATCTCCCCCCTCCCCCCACTACGGGCATCCACGTGCTTCACATTCTTGGACGTCTGGGAGCGGGTGGAGGCGTGAGCAGCGGCGATTGGTGAGGACAGATGGGGAGCCACATCCTGTGCACCCTGTGTCCTCTAATGCACCAAAATGGGGGCTCTGGGGCGGGAGGCGGGGGCCTGGGGCCCACCTCCACCCACAGCCAGCCTGCTCTCTTCCCACCTTCCGTCGTGGAGGTGAGAAGGGAGTGGGGAATTCTCCTAGAGGGGGCGGGAAGACAGTTCCGGTGACCAGAGGACCTCCACACACACCCAGGGGATGTTTCTCAGGAAGCGACATCGACCCCACATACTCCAGAAGGGTCGGTAGCCACCCTCAGGCTCCAGGTCTTTCCTGTGCCTCGGAGCAACTGCAATCACTCCCAACCCCACAGTCTTGGGACCCGGTCCACTGACATCCCCCCCACACACATACAAGTGCCCACACTGGACTACAGGAATTGGGAGCCCAGGCCTTTCAGTTTACCCACCCCACACCCGGTGTGGGGGCAGGTCTTCACTTTGCCATAGACAGTGGTTTGGGGGAAGCAGAGCTCACGAATCCACCACCCTCCGACTCTGCGATCCTCCACCCCTTCCAGTTTGGGGCCAGGAAGAGCTGAGCTGTCCTCACCGGCTGGGGAAGAGACAGGGGCTGCAGCCCAAGGTCTCAGACCCCAGCTTCCCTCCAGTCCTCTGGAGAAAGTGGAAAGGGTGACCCCAGCAGCCCTGCCCCAATGATCCCACTGAGGGGGACCCTTCCTCCAGCACCCAGAGAATGAGAAGTGGGGCCCGGTGCCACCCTCTCACTCCCTCTTTTTCTAAAGTCAATGGTTGAGCCAAACCCCCCCCCCAAGCCTGCAGACTGCAGCCTCACAGCAACTCAGGCCCAGAGGCAAAGGTCAGGGGGCAGGACAATAGGAAAAGTTGGGACTATGGTGGCTCTGGGAGGACAGGTTAGGCTGTCCTCCTCAGGTCTCTTTTCCTAGAGCAGGGGGGGGTAAGTCTGTGGCCTGTCGACCTTCTCCAATCTGCTAGGCTCCCAAGATACCCATTCCACCCCTCCTCCCCGGCAGGCAAGAGGGAGGCAGCAGGTCAGAGAGGGTGGGAGAAACTCCAGGGGGGCGGGCAATGTTAGAGGAAGAACCAAACCTTCTAACAATAACCCCCTAGAGCCTGGTCCCGCCCACCCAATGCACTTGCCCAGCGTCCACAGCTGGGCATGAACACGCCCAGGTGTGCACCCCTGATGCTCACAGCTCCTGAGTGTGCACAGAGCCCCTCTGGCCGGGAGGAGCCTGAACCCAGACAGGGTGCGAGAGGAGTGGAGGTCAGGCTGCCATGACAGCAGGGCTCCCCTCAGCACCCTCGTCAGGAAGGGACAGCCCAGGGCCTGGGCCTATCCCCAAGTGAAGACAAGGTAACAAAAGAACTCGGTGGTGGAGTTGGGAGGGGATGCAGCCCTCATTTCTAAAGCAGCCCAGACCCACAAAAAATAAACTCATCCCCCAGAGAACAATCTGGGTTAGGATTCGTGGGAGAGGGATTCTTCCCATCAGAGTTGCTTGTACCCTCCACTCCTGGGGACAGAAGCCTCAATGATGCCAGCCAAGTGTCTGGGGCCAGTACAAGCCCCAGATGGACCAAGTGCCCCTGCCAAGATGTGAGACTGGTTAGGATGGCGAACGGTGTCTGAAGTTGCCCCTTTCTGCCACACCCCACTGTCAGCACCAAAGACACAGAGGGCTCCCCTGACACCCACCCCAATGACGCAAGAGCAGGGGCTGGGGGCAGCAGCTGTTGCCTGGGAGGAGGGCTCTCCTTCAGGCTTTGGCAGATCTGGGGAGCAGAAGAGTCCACAGACAGGATCTTCACCCCACCCTCCAGCATGCTATTGGATTCCAAGTAGAAAATACAAATTGGGGCAGGGGGCTTGGGCTTAATTTTCCCTGGAAGTGGAAGAAGGAACATTTCCTGAAAGGAGTCCCCAAA